AAATCAAAAGAGAAATATAAACGTATTACTGTAAAACGATCAAATAACGTCTCAGTGTTCACAGAGTTTTGTGGGGTTTCTCAAACTTGTTTAGACATGTTTGAACGCTGATATAAGATAAGATAAGATGTACTTTATTGATCCTAACCTGGGAAATGTTTGCGTTGCAGCAGCATAAAAAACAAAACAAGACATTAAGTAGAAATTAAAGAGTATAAATAAACTATTCTAGAATTTAAACATCTCAAAATAGAAATAAAACGGCATTAAGAAGTAGAAAATATACAGTAGACTGTGAAGATAAAAAACCTATTAGCTCTGAGAATAAAACACTATTGAAGGGCTTTAGACACAATATAAAGCAGGCTATTGGTTACATTACGTGTGTAGGGAATGGTAAATTAAATATAAAAATATGTAGTTGATCTGTTCACAGCACTCTTTGCTAACCACTAACAATACTGACATAAGTGGTAAACAAATGCATTTACATAAGTAACAACTCATGTAGCACTTCAGTTAGATTTTGAGTTAGTTATGACCTATTTTAGACGCCAAAGAGATGGAAGCACTGACTGGTTTAATGTTTAATGTTGAAAGGAGCATTAAAAGTGGATACGGTTCAGATCCTGATGGGATAAGTGCCACCATGGGGGGCAGCATCTCTAAATAAAGCTCTGTAGAAACCCCAAAGTGTCTCTCTACACTCGGCTGAAGTCATGTTTAATGTTCAAATCCAATAGATTCTCTGTGTTTGAAGATGCATGCTCCTATACATTTTGAAAAAAAGAAAAGACAAGAAAAGTCTGAAATCTGAAGAAAAAAAAGTCCGACATTTCATAGCAAGTCAGAATTCAGAGAAAGTTCAGTATTCTGAAAAATGTCAAATTTCTGAAAAATGTCAAATTGCGAATCATAATAATAATTTCAGAATCCTGAGAAATGCCTACTTTTTTTTTTTTTTTTTTTAAAGGTCAGAATTCTGAAAAGTCAACATTTTGGAAAAAGGTCTGTATACTGCGAAATAATTATTTGTAAAGTCAACCAAATGTTGACCAAAAAGTCAACATTTTGAAAAAAAGTAAGAAATAAAAAAATGCATGCTCCTATACATTGTGTAGAGTTCACAGAGGGTACAATTAAAAATCACAGGGTCTGGAAGAAAATATAACAGAGATGGAAGCAGTAGAAGAAGCATTGTTTAAGATTTAAGAGCCGATGTGGTTTCCATGAACAGGGTGAAGTCACATTTAATACCTTTTAAGACCTTTGTTAAGACCCTTCCCATACATTTTAAGACCTCATCGCCACTTGGAGTTTTAACCGGTTACATTGGCGACACACTTTACCTCACATTGACTATATACAGTATTGATTGTCCTTCCTCCTTATCTTCCAACCATTTAGACGCAGACTTGCATTTCCCCATAACGATGTTGTTTAACAACCGGCGTAAACGGACCTTTGCGCGCTATCAAGCAGTGAGCGTGCGATGTCCTGTTCAGATGACGTCACATCCAACGGGATGCCATAAATAAACTACACAGAATCACACTACACACCTACGCAATGATTACATTCAGGCAGACTGTAGAATACAACCTCTTTGGACAATTTATATACTTATTGGAAACAAGCTACAACATGTAATACCTTGGAAAATGCCCTTTAATACTTTTTAATAGCCTTAAAGCGCTAAATTGATTTATCAACTTTTAATACTTTTTAAGACCCCGCGGACACCCTGTTAAGGTCTCTTGATGTATTTTGAGGTCATAAGACTTTTTTTTTTAGATGTGTTGAAGAGAGTACTTGAATGTAATGTAATATAGAATTTAAAATCAACAGTGGATTTTCTTGCAAGCAGAGAAAATAGAAAAGCGGCAAAACCATCGCTGAAAATAGTATAAAAAAAGTCAGAAATATAAACAACGGCCTCCCAAGAACATTGCATGTTGGATTTAATTTACCGATCCGGCAGTATATATTTCAGTCTCATGTCTTTGTGTAGGTCTGCACATACTGTAAAGCTTGCAAGATGTTACTACAGCAACCTTTTTGAAGGATAAATGACAACACAATCTTTCTTAGTTCCTTTATATTCCCATCTTCACTGAGAGCCCTAAACCACTCAATCAACTCTGCAAACAGATGTTAAACCCCTGATGATTTAGTATCACTGGACAGAGTAGAAGAGACATGCTTGAGTCCAGGTACTTGAGCTGAATAATGTTTTTCCTATCCAACACATCCACATTGACCTTCTTAAAACTGAAGAGAGCTCTTTTAAAATGTAAATGTTTTCAAAATGACAAGGTCTAGAATAAATTATTGTTTACAAAAGCCTTATTTTCCTCCATTAATGTTATGCGATGTTCAGCCTTTATTGTCTCCTATTTAATGAATCAGTGAAGTGAATACTGGAGCAAAACACAAACAAACATCCTACTGCTTAGTCGCAGGTAATCAAGGAAGTCATATTTGAGCTCCATAACAAGACGGGTTTATTTAACGCAGTACTTTATCTGGACTTTTCCTCCACATTTGAGTTGATGCATCACAACAACCTCAGCCAAAAACAGACTCCATACATACTCCCTCTATCCAATTAATTAAGAGCGTAAGAGTGCGTCTACACAGCAGCGTTAAAACAATCTTGAAACGCTTCTGCCCATTCACTTTGAATGGGGTGACGTCACTTTCCCTCACTTTTCGCCGAAATGCATTGTGGGCAGGCGAGCGGAGACTTTCAGGATTTTCAGGATTCAAAGTTGAACAATGTTCAACTTTTGAGGCTGAGGTGGAAGCGTCAGCCAATCAAATCCCGTGTACGCAAATCTGACCGTTCAAGCTCTAGCCAATCAAACTGCGTGTATGCTGGGAGAGACATACCGCAGGTCATTTCCTCATATTCCAAAAAATGGAGGAGAAATTAGCGGTAGGGAATCACCCGGTGCTTTATGACCAGTCCCTATTTACCTACCGGGATACAAACCGGAGGAGCCAGGCATGGAGGGAGGTGGCAGAGACAGTGGTAGGTTTTCGCCTGTTTGGGGAGTTTATATCCAGTTTACTTCGGGCTTTTTTGCTTTGTATGTCGGGGGCGGGAGATTCATGTGATTGGTTGCTCGCAAAAAATCCCCAAGCTTCAGATACGCCCACCTCCAAGATTTTTTTAACGCTGCTGTGTAGACGGTCCATAAGAGTGCGATGGATGGTTTGTTGTTTCAAGATGACTGCCTGAGAATTAGTCAATGTGCAATTGCTGCTGAAAGCTCTTCGGAGGACTTGAACAGTGTTTATCTGTCAGTGCACTCACTCTCTCTCTCTGACCTCTGTGAGACTCTATTAAGAGTTGTCTCATTAATCAGCGGTGAACTTGCTCACTGATGGATGAAGGACAGGCTGACATCCTGCTGTCTGACAGACTCACAGAGAGAGAAGTGATGAGATATAGATATGCTGTTTATCTGCATGCGTTTCACCTTGAAGCAACACTGGCTTTGACTAACGTGAACAAATGCAGTTTCAAAAGAACTTTTTCATTTCAAACCTTTATTTAACCAGATTGGTCCCAGATCTCTTTTTCAAGGGAGACCTGCAGCAAATAGGTTCCACATGAAACATAAAACAATAAAGGACATCATACATTATATTTACAGGATACATTTACATAGTTATCGACATTTACAAGTACCCATAGTATCAACGAGCATTTCATTTAGCCTAGCTTTAAAAACATACAGAGGAATGAGATTGCTCAGTTTAAATTCTTGCTGAAGATTGTTCCAAGCAAGTGGAGCTGCGCACATAAAAGCTGTCTTACCTAAGACAGTCCTTGCTCTTGGCACATCTAACAAGACTACATCATGCGATCTCAGACAATAGCTGCTTGCAACTCTCTGTGTTATCAGAGAGCAGATATAATACGGGAGTTTACCCAACAAAGCTTTATAAATAAACGTGTACCAGTGACTGAGCCTCCGTACAGTTAGTGATGGCAAACCTGCCTTGGCATACAGGGTACAGTGATGTGTAAGCATACTTGCCAACCCTCCCGATTTTCGCGGGAGACTCCCGATGTCATTGCCCTCTCCCGGTTTCCTCCCGGGGTCATATTTCTCCCGATTTCTGACTAAATCAGATTTACTCAGGACTGTTTCCACTCGGACTTTAATACAGCTACACCATTGTTTGGTTTCCATGGTAGCGCGTCTCTTTAGCAGCGCGCGCAACTGAAAGTCTCAGAGGGTGGGGAAAATAGTCACAGAAAACAGAACAAGAACCGACAACTCTACCCTCTGCTCACTCCTGTCCTTCACATATGCTCCATAAAGGATGGTGCTACAGGCCGCAAGGCAGTGCCCTTACAACAACAATAAGCATGTTAATGTTAATCTAATACAGCTCCCCCCCCGCGGTGGTTTTGAAATGCTCCCGATTTCTGAGGTCTCAAGGTTGGCAAGTATGTGTGTAAGTGCTTTACAATTTGTGACAAATCTCAGTATTTTTACATGGTGGGGGGAAATGTGCATTTTATGGAAACTCAAGGTCTTCCAAAAACTCAGTATCAGTGTG